CTGCCAGTGGGTTAAGATGCTTAGCTACTTATTACCTGTCTACTAAAATCTCCTGCCATACAGCCCAAACAAGCAGTGAGGGACGGAGAGAGAGAGACATGGAGAGTTACCTGACAAGAAGTACCAGACGAAAAGGTCCAGCTAGTCCAGACACACTGGTACCAGAGGACTGAAGAAGTACCACACGAAAAGGTCCAACCAGTCCAGACACACTGGTACCAGAGGACTGAAGAAGTACCAGACGAAAAGGTCCAGGCAGTCACTCCAGATGAAGACCACCAAAAGGTTTCTTCTTGTCTTTATTTTAATTAAACTGTAAATGCATGCAGTGAAGATGGATCATTTTTATACGGTAAGAATTAGACCAACTCTAAAAGAATCAGATTATCTTTGAAATAATAGTGATGGTGTTTTTTTAAAGCTTCTGGATATGTTTCACATTTCATTATAAAGATACAAACACAGAGTAAAAACATATCATCATGCTCCACAGCAACATTGATTATACAACGGGAAATACGTTCATAATAAATTGTTATTTGTGACTATTATTCAGTATTAGAAAATAAGATGTGAGGCATGAGGAGATGTCTGTTATTCCCTCTCCCTCGCCCTCCCTCTCTTTCTCTCTCTCTCTCTTTTGTACTCTATTGATCTCTCCCGGAAACGGGAAGATGAGCCCTGCTTTGGGACCCATTTGGAGCATCTCAAAAATCACTTAGCACATCATTCCCTACAGCCAGAATCAATCGGAGCAGACTGCTCTTCCTCCTGCATCAGGAGGGATCTCAAGGAGGCCAGATATGTCCCAAAAGCTAACGATAATATAACTTTGAGAAGGATAAAATGGAAGCTAATTCGTGTGGAGATTTTCTAAACTGGATGACTAAGCACCTCTACAGGCCTGTCTCTCCCAGCAGATGGTCTGTCTGGATTTACTCCCTGAAACAGAGATGAGGGAAGGAGGCCGCTGATTCTGATACTGTCTGCTTATTCCCACTCTGCACAGGACTGTAGAGACGAGACCCCTCACACTTTAAAAAGGTCACAATAGGTTTTACAGGGAGTCTGAAGAGGAAGCTGCAGACAAATGAAGGAAAAGACGGCCAGGTTATAGGACAGCTCTGAGTAACGTGGCGTGACTGCACTTATATCTCCTCCTGTTCTGTGTATGGCACTGGTAGAATTCACTGTCACGGCACACAATCAGTGAATTACCATAGGGCCATAAACAGAGTAGAGACTGAACCACACTGGGGCTACTCCTATCCAACTGCCATTTCTCGTCTTCTTTGCCCATTTTGGCACTAGCACATTTTTGCTTTGTTTCTTTTCGTTTGAGCAATCATGTGTGGTGCCAATATAGGACAAGATAGACAATCAGCTGATCATAAATGTCCAGGCCTCTTCTTTGAAAGAGAAAGATAGAGAGAAGAGAAGACGAGGAGGATAAACTGGATCTGATCGATTGCATATCCCTCTCAGATATCACTGGTTACCATGGAGGCTGGTGCTCCACCACTGAGACTGAGCTGTCCTGTGTAACCTGAACCCTACTTGTCACTCGGATCTGTTGGCTGTGACAGCTGCACTCTCCCACAGTGTTTGGCAATGGTAGAACTCACTCTGGTGGGCTGGAAGGATCCGGTGGTTCTAGACTTGCCAACAACTGACTGAGAGCTTTGACCTGCCGTCCACCATCATCCCAGGGGGAGGATTACTGTGTGTTTAGGAGTAGTACGTGTTAGTGCTGTCATGGGTGGCACTGGCAGGTTGTTGGGTGTGTGAGTGACTGGCGGAGCAGCAAGGGGTTCAAATTGACCATCCCCCCCTGAGCGTGCTTGCAGTCTCAGAACACGATAGAAGTTCCACAAGGACAAGTAGCAGGTTCACCATTTCTGTAAAGAACAATGCTAAATGCTCTTTGTCCTGCCTCTGTCCTCCATCAGATTTCCCGTTATGTCCCCTCGGGGTTGTCTTGGCCACACTTAGCTGATCATCACATCAAAGTGTAATCTTCAACCTAAAACACCAAAGGTATGAAATAAATGATTTTTTTGAACTATTAGGAAAATAACCCATAAATCCATACACAGGCCATTAAGCACTGGTCAATAAATCAATGGTGTTCATGCGTGTGGCTGAGACACCAGCAGCTGAAGTCCGGTAGTAGTACATTCTCAGTGATGGTGTTAGCAGCAGAAGCCTGACCCCGCTCAGGCACCAAAGGTCTGGGAGGAGGCCCTGCTGAGGTTCTTTATAAGTGATGATAGTGCTGCATCAAACCATTTAACCTGGAATGGACATGATACGTTTTATAACTCGGTTTCGTCTCATTTATATAAAGGCACATTTCTTAAATTCTGACTCTATTAGGCCAAACTAAAGTATTTCCACTGATTATAACTATGATTCCTTAACTGAATACACATCTCTAATTTAAGTATAATAGGGTGAGAACTGCTAGAGGATGTTTAGGTTTAAAGCTAGGATAATACTG